TCATTCTAGTTTGACTACTTAGAAAAGTTTATTTCCGCTTACAGCGTATTTTGGTAGTTTTCACTGCTCACTATTCCGTTCTTCTTCTTAATAATTATTATTAATCATTATTAGTTCGATTAGTCACTTTTAAATTCACTAACAATAGGATTGTTATCTATATGGTATCATTATTTGTTATTATTATTTATTTGACTAGTTATTTGCTCGGTTATTGACGCTATGAATCTTTTTCAATTAAGCTTCAAACCTATAAGTGAAATAGGTTGTAGGGAAAGTTCTCGCGGTTTTTGACACATATCATTACCTTAATTTTTTATCAACAAGAAAACATATTAGGAAACAAAGTAATCACCATCACGTTCTATCACTCTTCGCCATTTTTCGGGCAGACTTTTGATGCCTTCGGCAAAGAACTTTTCTGGCTTCGATTCAAAAAAGTTGCTCAACCAGAGCTCAACGTGCTTCGAAAAACCGCGAGAACTTTCCCTACAACCTAATATTAATGTACCTAAGGAATTGTTAAAAGGCATTCAATACAGTGTTTCTTCCTTTCCATGCAAAAATAAATAAACCATTCGTTACGCGTCTCATACCATTTGCCATGGAATAATCTCGAAAATATGGAAACAAATCGACCGCTCGCCTTCGTCTGCTGTTGCGAAATTAGACGCTATGACTAGCTGGCAAGCTTGTCATAAAAATTAACGACACACCCATCCCTCCAGGTTAAAAATGGAAATTTACCATCCACTCATTCCACTACAAAGTGAGCTTGACGAAAAACAACTAAGCTGCCTAAAACTGCGCCGAAGTCCCTGGCAATTTTGACAGACAATCTGCTTTATGTGAGGTCTGGATTAGTGGGACAGAGAAGGAAAGGCGCCAAACTCAGACAGCGAGCACACAAAGCAAATAGCGAAAAACCCTGACCTGTCATAGATTCTAGAATGAAATCTTTGGCACTTTGCTTATGGTTCAACAGAAATCTCTTTTCTCAGAGATATGGAATAATTTTTGGAAGCATTACTCTATTTATTAATAACTTCGTATAGCATACATTCAAGTTAAGGCCCACGAAGTTGCGAAACATGGAACCGTCCGTAGCCAATGACGAACGTTACGATCCCCACTTATCAGCAGGAACGCGTGGGAGTGCAGGGTCAACAAGAGTGCAACACCAAGGCGAGACCCCTCTTCTCAGACAGCCATACATGTCCTCCTACCCTTCGAACGGTGAGTTTCTATCGGTAAGATTTCACCTATTACCATAACTATGAATCGTCTTCCAAGTACCCTCTTGGATAGACATAATAAGCAAGCTGTATGTACTCTTTGATCCTTTGACATTCGAATCCAGAGCTAGATGATTTGCTCTGTCATACTGTATTCAAAACGACCCAGCTGGAATACACTACAGTCTGGAAAATTCAGAGCTACACTGACGTCTCCCCTTCTGAAGAGCGCCTCCATACGATGCCCCTCCTAAGTTAGCCTATCATAGTTCTCACTTACTACTCCTCATATCCCTTACTACAAATAAGTTCCCACCATTAAAAATGGCAGGTGGGTGAGGAGTTAGTACAGCTGCCGAGATGGGGAGACGTGCGTTTCTCCTCCTGGGGTCAGGTCACCACAGTTGCGCGATCATTGAAGCTTAAGGTTAAGTTTGGTTTAGACTTAGGTTAAGGCTTATGCTTACACATTGGCTTATGCCTAAGCCTATGATTGGGCCTAGGCTTAGTCCTAAGCTTGCTCCGAGCGAATGAACGGCGTCTCAATTTTAGGTGACCTGACCCCAGGAGGAGAAACGCTACGCACCCGCCGAGATGGCATAGACTGTACAACTTCCACATTTCTTTGAACTTCGCCGAAAAAACCCTACCATCCAATAAACTCCTCTTTAATTTCTCTTCCAAAATGATGATTCTAGGAAAACAACATCCTTAATTAACTTGACGGACTGTTGAACCTTGGGCCAATTACCCTAGCCACAATCAGCTATTGATTTACTTTACCATCACGCAATCCTCGCCTTAAATCATTCTCATTTCAGTCAGCTCAGCGGGATCTAGAAGAAAGCCTGCAAATCTCTCAGATGTTCTCAGCACGTCTGGCGACACCACCGATCTCGTGAGAAACCTAAGCTCATATGTGAACACAAAAATACCTCCCGGTAAGTTGCTTCAAATTTTGGCCAAGGTTCTAGACAGCGCTCATCTTCCTCTTTCAGGTCTGAGCATATGCGTGCTTATCTTTCTTTCGGTCTTTGCCTTCGCCTTGATACTTATGGGTACGTTCAGTATGGTCTAACCCCGACAAGCGCTGTACTATTCCATATTTCAACTAACCGAAATTCGATATTTTAGGAACCTTCCACATTCCGTTTTGTCAGGTGCAGCCGATGATACCTATCTGGCTCACTGTCGCCGGAATACTTTTTATCCTTAGCGCAACACTTCGCATTTATCGTATGATTCCATCTCCTCGGAGCTCACATCGATCTCAGCCCAAGTCGCTCGACCTCTGCTGCCGCCTCAGCGAGGGTTTACTGGTTGTGGTCAACGTCGTATGGCTGACACTAGGTGAGGTTTCTAATGCCGATGGCTTCCTAATGGGAATATGGAGGGAAAATTTTGTGACTACTGTACCGGACTCGGTTATGGCGACGGCCAGCCGCGCTTTGATTCAATTTTTTACCACTAGAGGTACAAGCATGTTAGTTCAACAGCCAGAGCTACCGCGCATAAAATCTAAGACCTTCAATCCAAAGGTGAGTTCCAAGGATTTCAAGAGCGAGCACAACAAAATTTTAGCATGTCTTCCCATATTAGCGTATTCTTATCTATCATTTTGGATATAGCCTAGAACTTGAAAATAATCGCAACAGGAATCATAACCGAGTTTTAGTTAGAGACAGGAT